GAAGTAGTACAGCAAGATCTCGACAACCAAGGCAAACAGAAATACGTTGTTCTTTAGTTATAAACAAATAATTGATGTGTGCAAACCTTCCATTGTTGTTAGTAAATAATTTGTTTTCCTCATTTTACATGAAAACAAATGATTGAGTGTTTATAAAAAGGTATCAATTATTTGTTTGAAAGTTGTCCAAAGTTAACCTTACTTTCTTAATGGCAACCACACGATTTATAAATAAAGAATTAAAATTAAATATTGCTATTATAATAACAAGTATTAATTATTTATCTATATTAAAAAGATTAACTTAAGACATGGAGTCGGTAGGAGGGGTAATGAAATCTTTACAGGAACAGAGCATCGTAAACGTGAAAAAATACTTATCTAACATAATCCATCCCTTACAGAACAAATTTGGAAGAAAAATTAGATAATTCCATTACTTTTAAGTAAAATACTTGCAAAAATGGTGGAGGTACGTTAAAAATGTTACCTTCTACCCGCAAACAACAAGACAAGTTTTTAGGAACTTAGTTTTGGGTTATACCTAAGTTTGTACCTAATACAGAAGAATTATGTTTCATTTTTGAGAAAACAAGATAATTCAAATCATTTGGAAAGTTTTTATTATATTATTTTTGTTCAATTAGTTTTAACAACAATACCTTGTCGGTGTTAAGGAGGTACAAAGAGAAATTAACAAAAATTAGCCGCTGCAGACGCGAAAAAATACATACCTAATATAATCCATCCCTTGTGGAAGAAATTTTGAAAAATAATTAGGCTGTACCATTACTTTTAATTAAAATATTTATAAAAATGGTGGAGGCACGCTAAAATGTGTCCGTTCCACACACAAGCAACATGAAAAGGAAAGAGTTTGGTTGAATCAACCAATCAGAAGCGAGCTCGCCGATCATAGAATCCAACGCTTTCTTCGCCAAATAATGCGCGGAATATTTGAATTTTTTTAAAACAAATTGTTTTGAAAGATTTGAATAATAATATAAACAATTGAATGCCTCATTTTTAAGATAACATTTGCTTAAGACAAAATGTGCTGTTCATTTGTCTGTAATAGTTAAATGAGAACTTTGTAATGTTTTTAAAGAGTTTGTTACATTTTATGGCTAATTGACAAAAACTATACACAGCATTTTAATAAGAAATAATTGCTTTAAAGACATTAGTTTTGCACATAAGACGATCCACAAATCGTAAGTTTGTGGATTCAATTTTAGAAATACGTATTCTTATAATTTAAACGCAGAAATATCTAAATCAACTAAATTTTTAACAAAACCGATTAATCCCAATTATTACCAATGTTAAGTAGCAATTATTTTGTANCATGGGTAATCTCGTAGATCTCACTCAAAACGTAAAGGCTTACGACGTAACACCAGGATGCCCAGTCAAGGTAACTTAACTTTGTTGATCTTATCATCATTGCGTTCGTTTTGTCAAATTTCTTACTTCTTTCACTTCCATTATTATCTTTTTTTTTATTTAGTATTTATTAATTAAATAATGTTCACCAGTTTTTGTCTTGACAATCTTTACAACTTCCTAATTCAAAATTCTATTTCAGTTTTCAAGACTTGTCTCCTTCTCGGAAAATACAAACGGATACATCCGATTCGGTAACATCTCTTCCGGCGACATATTCCAGCTAAGTTTGAAATTCAGAACGAAGGAACCGAACGGTCTAATATTCTACTTCACAAACAGCGATCAAAGCGTCGGATTGTCGTTGGCCTTAGACGAAGGCGAGTTGCATTTGATCGATCAAAAAATCGATATCATACCCCCGGACGTCACCTTCAACGACAACGAGTGGCACGTCGTCACCATTACACACAACACAACCGTTTTACGACTGGACTACGACGACTATGCGTTCCAATCGTAAGTACTTAGGTCAAATATTCACAAACTAACCCGGGGTTAAGCTGAACCCAGGGTTTAACACTTAAAACGGTGCTTTTTCGTGTTCAAGTAAGTTATCGAGTGAAATCCTAATTTTTGAGTATGTTTCACACTTGCATTCACATGCTTCAAATCCTTTGATGTACCTCCTTTATCTCAAAATGGGAATTTTCAGAACCGACAGTCCCCCACCGCTTCCCCGAATTCTCTACGGTGACTTCTACATAGGAGGGTTGCCAAGAACGTTTGCTGCAAAACAAGGTACCGTGGCTACCGAAAGGAACTTTGCCGGATGCATTGGTGATACGACAGTCAATGGAGTGATACTCAACTTCGCCAACTCGACCGATAAATTCAGAGAAGTGATTGGAAAATGCATTTTGGACAAGCAAATTGGCAGTGACACCAACATACATGTGGGTAAGTCCCCGAAATAATACGTGATAGAATATTATCGAGTGTTGTAGTTACAGATTTAACTTAATTAAACAATTAATTAATATATTTTAATAAATACAGTTCCCACGTTGCCGCCAGTCGAAGAGCTTGACTTTCAAACTTTGGCGCCTTCCGAGTCGTTCACTCGCAATCCATTCATTGATGGTCAGTATTTTTTTTTTCTTATAGAATGAACTTGACCGTAATTAAACTGTAATTTGCAGCGATACCTAAGCGAGGTGATGGAGGTTTTGAGAGTGGTGTACATCAGCCCGAAGAAGTTGTCACCACAACATCCCCTGCTACCACTACAACCACCGTGGCAACGGTTATTCCCGACGTAAGGGCGCCTCGACCACCAGGCACACCACCCCCAACAATCCCGCAACTACCGAGAGAACCCTCGTGCGCTTTGCCGATAGAACCCCAATACGATGACACCGCAAACAGTGGATCATACAGGTTTGGTAAGTTAAAACTATTTATAACTATAGATAAATCGTTTCGAATTAAAAATTATTTGTTCTTCTTGTAGGAAGCGATCCTGAAAGCAGGTTGGAATATCCGGAGGCAAGGGGGAAGTACAGGAAACAGTTCGACTTTTCGTTAGAGTTCAAGACGACCGAGACTGGAGGGATCCTAATGTACGTTTCTAGTATAGATCACAAACAGTTCGCTGCCATCATACTGCAGAGTGGTCATGTGAGTTTTGTTTGAAAAATGTCTTTTTTCAAGACCAAAAGATTCGTTTCGTCCTTCCAGGTCGTTTTCATCTTCAGTGGTGGCGGTGCCCCTGCCATCATAAAATCCCCGGGTACATACGTCGACAACGCCTGGCATAAAGTCGAAGTAAGCAGGAACCATGGAGACGGTAAACTGGTTATCGATAACGAAATCGCAGCAACCGGTAGAGCCCCCAGTAATACCGCCAAAATCGAACTTTCTCCACCGTACTACGTAGGAGGAATCCGATCTACCGATTATGAACATGCTCTCGAGAATTTGGTAAGTACAGGTTTAAGTAATTTCATTAAAAATATATTAATTGACCAATTGTTCATAATAACGAGCTACTGTAAGTCTCTGACCTGGTTTCAGTAGCTCATATAGTAAACCCCACCCTTTCGATCCTACCAAAAGCACAAGATGGCCTCTTTTTGAGCTGACAGGGTCGAGATTTGTCCTTAACCTCAAAGTCGCCATTTTTTTAACACCTAAACCAATCTCTACAAGTTATTTCAACGCCAACTTCAAATAATGGCACCTATTAATAAATTTTAAAACCGATTGACAGTATTGCCGCTGTGTATGTTGTGTTGTCTACCTACATGTGACATGTATTTTAAGTTAGGTTAGGTTTTATTCACAAATTTCCTGGCATTAGGACAAAACAATTTTACATAGGATTTTTATAGCTAATAACATAATAAATCCATTCCACTTGGTTTCGATCCAGCAACTTTATTCAGGAGATTCATCAGTAACCTTTTCACGCATCTTTTTTGGGGGTGCAGCACTCTCGCCTATATTATGAGTCCCATCAGGACGATAGAGGGCGTTAATTACAACAACTGCTAAAATCCTTTCGCTCTTGTTTTTTTCTTTGTAACGAGTCTTTTAAAAGGTCAATGTGATTTTTATACAGGTGCATAGAGGGCATTAAATACAACAATCATTAATTGTTTTGTTTCTATTGTTGTTCTTTTCTTTCAGAATACGACTCGATCGCTGAACGGTTGCATCCGGGACTTCCACATGAACAGCAAGCCGATGGAGAAGGTGAAGACGTTCGGGGCGATACCATGTTCAGAAAACGTCGAACCCGGAACGTTCTTCCACCAGGACGAGGGCTACATGAAGTTGAAGGAGAGATTCAAAGTGGGTGTCACAATAAACATCAAGATGGACATCAAACCGAGGACCACGTCGGGCGTACTTATCGCCGTCCACGGTAAACGTGACTATCTCGTACTGGAAATGGTCAATGGCACTATAAAGGTAACCGTTGAAAACGGTAAGGGGCCCATATCTAACTCGTTCAGAGCAGACAACCCGCATTACTTGTGTGACGGACAATGGCATACCATCCAGGGTACGTATAGGAGATAATTCAAATTTAATACAAATTATTAATAATTAATATATTTTTAAAAGTTATAAAGTCGAAGAGTGCGGTGACGTTATCAGTGGATGCCACTCATACCGAACCAAGTGTCGGAGATCCTCATTCTATATCAACGGACACCGGTGGAGGCCTGTTCCTTGGTGGTCATCGTCTGCTCCATCGAGCTAGGGGAATAACCGTTAGAAAATCGTTCGTTGGGTGCATGCGAAGTGTTTTCATCAACGAACATCCGATCACGTTATCTCAAGATATGGCCGAAGGTAAAGTCAGCGTTGGCTTCTGTCCCACCAACTGATTTTCTTCTTTTTCCTTTTTTTTATCATTTCAAAGCCAAATGAACTGCGTAATTTATCTTTTAAGTGATTTGTCATAAGTGTAACTTTGCATTTAATATTATTAAGCATCAATAAAAACTATATGTCGCAATAAAAATCAAGATCATTCTCCTTCCTCTTCCCTAACTCAAAATACCATACTTGATCGATATCTGAAAAATTAATAATGATTGTTATGTTATCTAAGACAAATAAAACAGTATAATAAACTTACCTAAGAATATCATGATGAATGGGGTATTATTTTTATTTTCACTACATGCGCACTTTCAGTAACTTCGAAAAAACAAACGCGTAACCAGATTAGCGCAAAACTTCAGAAACAATTAAATATAAAAGAATATAAAACATTGGAATAGCATAAAAATAAACGAACAAAGTAAAAACAACAACGTAACAATAACAAATGGTATGTTACATTATTGTCATATAATAAAAAAGAATCGATAAAAATTGAACACAGCAAACGGCAACCTGAAATAAAAGAAAAAGTATTGTTAGCAATGATTGTTAAACTTGGTTATTAAACTGTTTATTTGAAATTCACTTACCTTAAGTATTATATATTAACTATAAATCCATATTTATAATATAATAAAACTATATTGCACCTGCAATTTTACTAAGTAATTTTATTTTTTCATAAAACACTTATTATACGACAGCAGCGGCTATATGAACGAAGTATTAGTATTATCTAATATTAAAGTGCCCGCTCTTCGAGTGCACGAACCGCCACTGCATTTTTGTTTCTTCTACTGTAGTTTCACTTTACACTTCAATAAAACGCGCGTAAATTAATAAACAAATAAAATTAAAATATTGAAACCAATCACCTAGATAAAGCGACAAGTTCTCTTAAAAAAATAGTTAAAACAATTTAAAACAATAGAGATCAGTAAATAATAAAAAACTGCAACAGTCGAACGCAGGCGGAAAGACATCGCCAAACAATAAAAGAAGATATAACAAAACTACAAAAATGTAAGTAGGTAAGTATAAAATATTTTTTTTTAAATACTTGAAAAGACGAATGCAATCAAATTAACCCAAAAAATACCTATTGTATCTCCTTTATTTGTTTAAAAAAATGTATCCTACCTTTACAGCAGTCTGGAACAGTCCTGGGAACTCCAAGGTAATTTCTGTTTCTCCTAGCCGGCCTGCAACAAACAAAAGACAAAAATTAGTACAATTTTTAAAAAGAAAAATGAATTACAATTCGACTAAATAATAAATCATAAGTATATTTTTCGTAAATTTGTAACTTGAGATCATTGAATTTTAAAATTTTCTTAAGTGACATCTACTGTTATACACACTGAATGTGGTCGAAAAACGACAGATGGCTCCACTTCAGTGTTTTGTTCTCCGGTATGGATTCAGTGTCAGTAAGGGTCATTGATGAATATTTCTGTATATGTTTATTACAATTTTACGAAAAGAAAAAATACATACTAAACGCTTCAACCCTCACCTCAACGTGATAAAGAAGTGTTCCAATATGGTAAGTAAAATGCATCATTCTGTGCTTTGCTTTGCAACTTAAAGACGCCATTATCTTCATGTAATTGCTGCTAACTAAACAATTTTGTTTGGGATTTGATAATTTAAATGTTCTTTTAGACGTGTGTGTACCGCACAATCGAAACATCTGTTCACTGAGGCCTAAGAAAGTCATCTTGAAAAATGATCTTTAACGAATGGTAAGTGTTATCTTCATCAATTTTAGTCAGTAATATCCTGAAACAGATGTAAAAATTTAACATTTTATTATTTGCAGTAACCAAGATGGACTTCATACAGTATATATGATACTGTAAGTCACCGTGGTTTTAATATGAGCTGATGGACTAATAATTTGGTAAGTATTTATAAATTGTTGCTTAAATTGCACTATCTACTAACATAATTTGATTTTAACACAAAACCCATTTATTTCTTTCAAAGCTCCAATTACTCACATTATTATTTCTCAAAATTGTTAATTACACAAAAAAAAAATATATTTATCTTATGTTAGACTGCCTTGGTTAGAAATAACTGAGAATCTACAAGAATGCCCCAAAACAGATGATGATCCTTGTATAGCAACTTACTTTGTTTTTAGATTTACTTTGTTGGTGATCACAAACAAAAAAAAATTGCTAGTAAAACAGACAAACATATTTCTTTGTTGCAATATGAGTAACAAAAGAGTAAATGTGTAAAATAATTGAATAATAAACAACTGAATTCTAAATATTGCAAGAAACTTTTAGGATTCCGCTATTATTGCCGCTGCTTTTCAATAGTAACAGAAGAAAATCATAGCAGAATAATTGTAAATTAATAAATTGGAATTGTAGTTGCTAATAAAATACAGATAATTATC